GGAACACAGGCTGCTAGAAATTAGGTAAATCTCATTAAGGAATAATAAGCAAATGACCTTCACTGGATGAGGGAAGAAAAATTAGAATTGAGCTATGCAAATTCAGGCACACAACAACTTCATCTGTTTTGACAGGCACATAATAAAAAAGCAGCCATTTTGCTATCTCACATCTGAAGGAAAAATGGTTTCTGCACACTCTAGGAAGTGCTCAGGACTACAATAAAGATTTTTGGGAACGTATGGAAACACTTTTTCTGATACTTCATAGTCAATTAAACAGTGCTTTAACATGGCAATTACCTATTCAGTTAATGTTCTGGGATCAAATCTAATACACCGGTGATCAAAATCATCACCCGCATCCTCATTATCTCCTCATGTTCAAATCACTGGCAAGCTGCAGTGCTGATTTAAACCTTAGTCAAATAATTGTGTCTCCGTTTAACCAAATGTTGCAGCAAGAATAATATTTTAAAGAATACAGTGGGGTCTCTACTTAAGAACGTCCCTACTTAAGAACAATCCAACTTAAGAACAGCTCCGTTTGCTAAATTTTGCTTCTACTTGAGAACAGAAATCCAAGATAAGAACAGGAAAAAAAAAACCTTTCCTGCTCTTTTTTTAACCTTAGGTCATCTTAGGTTAAAAAAAATTCTCCACCTAGTGGTAGAGTACGTATTAACCAGCTTTGCATTAGTTCCTATGGGAACTAATGCTTCAATGTACGAACGCACCTCTACATAACAAAAAAACAGCCAGAACGGATTAATTGGTTTTCAGTCCATTCCTATGGGAAATTTTGCTTCAACTTAAGAACGTTTCAACTTAAGAACACCATTCCAAAACGGATTAAAGTTCTTAAGTAGAGATTCCACTGTAAAAAGAAGCAGCCTCTTCGCCACCAACAGTTAGTACTGTAGTTTCTATGGACTGAAAAGAGCAGATACGGATTAAATGGTTTTCAATGCATTCCTATGGGAAATGCAGATTCAACATAAGAACTTTTCAACTTGAGAACCACCTTCCAATACGGATTAAGTTCTTAAGTAGAGACCCCACTGTAATGCAAACTGACAAGCACCAGAGAAGTGATCCTCTTAGAGCAGCTTTTACACTACAATCATTGTCAACTGTGCAGCCAGCCAGCCTTCCACTTTGGGCATCCCAGGGACGGCTTCCACTACCTGTAGACTGGGGAGCTAATCAGGAAACTGGTGAGGTATGGGGTACCGAAGAAGTTAGGTGCGACTATTTAAGGGGAGTAGACACATGGACTGTGATGCATGTCGGCAAGAAACAGTGAAGAGTTTGGAGGACTCAGGCAAGGAAGGCTGGGGGACAGTATGGAGGCCTTCATAGGATTCATAGTAGGCAGAGGAGGAAAATATGAACAGTGGCAGAAAAGGTGACTAAGATGTACTCGTGATACCATCTTCACACTCAAAACCAGGTAAAGCAGCCCCTAGGACTTGCAGGCTATTAGTGTCCGTTCATTCTGGACATCCCCAATATTGCTGCCCCATCAGTCAGTTTTATTTGGAAAAGAGTCCTGAGCTTAGTGTACAGAGTGCTCTAGAGAAACAGACATCTGAAACCCTAGAACAGATGTTGTCAACCTTTTTCCTACCGTGGACTGCCTGAGCCTCTGAGAGAGGTGGGGCACCCCCTCGCACTCGCGCTCTCGGATGCATGTGTGAAGCGTTGGGGGAACCCGCATGCCAGAGGTGTGCGCACACTTCCCCACCACTCTGCACATGCGCAGGAGTGCATGTGACCGGCGGCACCACCAGCCTGGGAGTCTGAGCAGGGCTGGGGTGCTACCTCTGGCTGCTCACCTCCCAACGGGCTCCAATGAGGCCGGGGTCTGCGCTCACCACCCTCCGCGGGAAATTCAAATGGCGGAGGGCGGCCACCCCGGCGAGCAGCTGCTGATGCCAATTCCGAAGCTGGAGGCACCAGCGGCGGCATTGGCCTGCTGAGGGCGGTAAGGAGTGCCGCCCCTGGCCTTGTTGGAGCCCGCCGGGAGGGCAGCAGCCGGAGCACCCAGCCATGCTCAGCCTCCCGGCTCTGGGCCACCCCTCCCACCCACCCCACATGCACTCCCCTCCCCACAGTTGCTTTGCGTGCATGGGCGCATGCATGAAGGGGTGAGGGAGCGCTCATACTGATGCTGGCACATGTGCGTGTGCAAAACAGCTGTGGGGAGGGGAGTGCGTGGGGGTGGGAGGTTTGTCCTCACGGCCCGGTCTGGCTCAAGCCACAGACTGGCAATGGGCCGCTACTGATGCTGGCACATGTGCGTGTGCAAAATAGCTGTGGGAGGGGAGTGCGTGGGGGAGGGAGGTCTGTCCTCACGGCCCGGTCGGGCTCAAGCCACAGACTGGCAATGGGCCGCAGACCGGGGGTTGACGACCTCTGTCCTAGAAGACCAAACTCTGCTCCACCCCAGCCCAACACACCTACAATTTTCATCAGCCATTTATTTTATTTATGGATACTTCCAAACAGAGGCAAGGAACTGCATTAGGATGGGATTCAGACATTGGAGAGCACCCTATTCTTTTCTTAAGACACAAATTGACACCTCATAAACAAAACTACACGGTCATAGAAAGGGAAGACCTTGCAGTCAAATGAGCCACTCATGCTTAGAACGATCCATCCTTCCCCTTTAAGAATGGTCCCACACCAAACTGGAGCAGGGCTAGGGCATGCAATCTATTTGGCATAATTACTTGGGATTCAAAATAGCTCATTGTTTAGCCTTTGTAGATGGATATTTTCAACAAAATGATGCTGGGGCTGGTGTCAACTGCGAAGATAACCCTATGATGTATTAGGTGGGTTGTGGCATTCAAAGGGATGGTGGAAAAACCCCTTCCTCTATTTTAATCTTCTTTTATTTTTAATATTTCCCTAACTGACAGTGAAATTCTAGAACCATGTCAGGTTGATGCATTGCCATTTCAATATGCGACCCACTTTTTAAACAAACACCCTGATACAGGGGGAAAGGGGAGTTACCTCCCTGCTGTTTCCCCATCCTTCATCCCAGTGTTCTCCACTTGCACTACAGCTTCTGTTTCCTTATTCACAAGTAAACTGGATAAATTTACTCATTAGTAAACTGGGTAAACCTTGCTTTGAATGAATTTGTAGCACAGAAGAGGGCCTGCTTTCCTGTCCCTCCACAGAGGATCAGGGAAAGTGCGTTACTGATAGCTGATTAGGCCACAAGGGGTTATTTGCTGTGGGGATGGAAGAAGGGTGCCAAATGGCACATCACTCGTCCCTCCTTGCCTCAACAGATCCTTTGCAGCCCAATCCACCCTGCACCCAAAATGGCCAGCCTGGACAGGCCCTAGACGAGTCACCAAACATCAGAAGTTACTTGATGGCACATAGGATCTTTGAAGGTTTTTTTTTCCTTAATTGTCAAACAATTGTATTGTGACAAAACAGGAAGGCACCCAAGCTCTGCTAACATCGAAGCAGATCTGTTCGACAGACAGAAAAGATTGCTGGTGTCTGCATGGGGCAGGGGGGAACAGTTTTACATTTTAAAAAATCGTAACGTGAAAACTATTTGCCCAAGCGTCTCCAAGCTAGAGCAAGAGCAGACTCTCTGCTACATCTGTGCCAAATGTGATGCTAAGTCCAGTTTCAAAGTTACAATTTTTTGTTTGGGGCACTTCTATTTTTTGAGTTGATTTACAGAATGCTAATTTGATCTGTCACACAATATCTACTGCTGCACTCTTGTGCAGCAATGATCACAATCTGCCAGATTCAGATGACACAGTAAAGTGCAGTTAACTGCAAATGAAAACAAATGTTTCTTCCTCATTGCTATACGATATTGCAAAGTGGGAGGCAAGCTTGTGAACCTGAAGTGAATCAAGGCTTACTCCAGTGACAAGAAAAACATGGTTTATCATGCAATTTAAACTGTCATTTGTTTTCATTCAATACCTAAAGCTCACTCATAACCAGGACCAAACGGCAAATACAGAACTATTGCATTTGCTTTGAATTATTTCCAGATGCCAGTCTCTATCAACAAAACAACAGGAAATGAAGTAATTGCTCAAAAAAGATGTGGTGGAAGTTCTTATGTAGTGCTAGTGTATAAATCACAGTCTACTACTTACACACACATCATGGTAATGATTTCCTAAGCAGAAATTGGGAAGTTCCTTTTCCCCCACTTCATCTGCTAGATCCCACAGTAAAGGGGGGAAACAATGTAACTTTTCCAACTTCTGTCTCAAGGTTACAATTGCATGAATACTTACCAATGTGGTGTCTTTCTAAATGTATAGAATTAAGCTTCTCTCTTGATTAATTAAGTTAATTATAAAAAGGAACTCACTACAATTTTCAACTAGTCAGTTCCAGATTCTAAACTGGCTTTGCTGAGAGCACAATGGATGGGTGCATGAATCAATCATCCTGAGAACCAAGCATCAAGCATCATATCCAGCAGACTTCTTTTGAGGAAAACCTGTATCTCTTGCAGTCACGATGAGGTTTGTGGCTCAGCTGAGAGAGAACAGGGAATATCTCTCTCTCTCTCTCTCTCTCTCTCTCTCTCTCTCTCTCTCTCTCTCTCTCTCTCTCTCTCTCTCTCTCTCTCTCTCTCTCTCTCTCTCTCTCTCTCTCTGTGTGTGTGTGTGTGTGTGTGTGAGAGTGAGTGTGTGTTTGTGTGTGTGTGCATGTCCAAACATGACAGCTAAACATTTGTGGCTCTTTAATGAAAATAAATCATCTTCTCCAGATGGCTGGATAGGCAGAACAAAGATTGAAATTCATGCTCTGAAAATTATCATGAAGTATGAAATATTGCAATAATATAAAGATGAGAAATCTGATTCAAATTTTTCCAAAAGTACTCTTGTTGAAAAGATAGCTATAACACTGTTAAATAAAGGCAACGGCCCACTCAGAAATTTCATGCAGGTACCTCAAGTCTTAACATCCTCATCTGTTAAACATACCTTACATTCCATGCAGTAGTGAAATCTGGGTTCAACAGCAGCAATGTACAGGTGATATCTATCAACTCTGAAAATAAAATAAAAAAGAAATCCATAAAAGCCACAGAAGTTAGTATTTCTTATGTTTTCAGCCTTAGACAAGCCTCTCTCATGACATGTGCTGTTAAAACATGAGTTGAGTGAGCAGCTTGCTTGTTTAACACTCATGAGATTGTCTTCCTACTCTCCAAAATTCTTGGTCAAAGAGGTCTGTCTGGCAAATGGAACAAGGAGGGGGAAAGAAATAGCTAGGTACTTCCTTTGTTAATTACTGTAGCTCAATTAAAAAGTCCACTTACAGGACAGTTTAATCTGTTACAGCCTGTTATCCATGAAAGCCTCTACCAAATAAAACTTGTTAGCCTTTAAAGTGTCATAAGTCTCTCCAGTGTTTTTCTACAACAGACTAACACAGTTACCTGCTTGAAAATTTTAACTGCAGTGAGTTAATGAGGAAGGGGTAGTCCTCACTGATTTCAGTGGAATGGTAGTAAGACCATTCCTGAAGAAATCTAGGAGAAATACAGTGGTTCCAAACAATAACTGCCCAAGTATCAGATCTGCTATTTCTAGGCAGATGTTAGAACCAAAGTTGTTGCTAAGTACTTAAAATATCAAGGACACAGGTATATGATACCAGTTTGTAAACTGTGCATGTGCAATTTAGAATCATTAGAGTAAATTTAAATGTCACAAATGCAAACAAAAATGGCAATTTTTAGCCCATGCAGCCTTCTCTCTGACTACCCAGCAACATAAAAACACACCAGTTTCCAATAACAGCACAACTCCATATATGTATCTATATCAAAGAATCCTAAGGTCTACTGAGTTCACTACAGCTTATTTCCAGATAAGGAAATATAATACCATAGCCATACTACAATATCTCTCGTATAGATTAAAGCCTCACCATTCCTTTTTTGGAAATTAAGCACCGACTTATACCTGTAGCAAACAAATAACCCGATCACACACATTCCTTTGGGAAGGAAGAGAGATTGGAATGCAAACCAGATAGTGAAGAAAGAGAATGTTCTATGAAGTGGCAGTAGTAAAAACTGGGTTAACTAAAAATGAAGTTCAGAAACTACATGTGGTATAGAGAAAAAATATATATTGTAGCATGGTCTGGAAATGGTACAAACAGGGTAACAAAGAATGAGTTACAAAAGAATTCTGCTTTCCTGAAAAGAATACTTTCCTGCAGTTAACATAGCAATGCTGCCCTCTGGAGTTAATAAAAATGTAAAACCAGACTTCAGAATGATTTGAGATATGACTCTGATTCTAGTGCAACCCATACTCGTGAACAAGGTATAAAGATATACCTTGTGGCTACCAAGTGTGATGGATAGAGTGACAGACTAGGATTCAAGGGGCCTGGCTTCAAATCCCCACTCAGTCATGGAAACTCACTGGTTTATGTGGAACTGGTAAAGCTACTTCTTAAATATCTCCCTTACCTAGAAAACCCTATCATGGTGGGTGTATGTCAATTACAACTTGACAGCACATAATATAACATAGAGATATGAAATATGCATTATGGAACTGAAACTGAGTTTACAGCTGATGACTTTACTAAATTAACTCAAATTCCTCAAAAGAAAAGTATGCCATTCAGTTTGTTCATCCATGAACTGAGGTCCAATGAATGCAATATGTTGGACATTGAACATTCAGTCAATACCCTGGAGTATGGTACATCTCTCACTGTGTGCAGAGTGAAACTTTTAAAGTTTATTGAAACTGCAACCTTATAAGCATTTATCATACAGTAAGCCCTGTAAGGTGGGACGTGGCGGCGCTGTGGGCTAAACCGCAGAAGCCTGTGCTTGCAGGGTCAGAAGACCAAGCAGTCGTAAGATCGAATCCATGCGACGGAGTGAGCATCCGTCGCTCGTCCCAGCTCCCGCCAACCTAGCAGTTCGAAAGCATGCAAATGTGAACAGATCAATAGGGACCACCTCGGTGGGAAGGTAACAGCGTTCCGTGCCTAAGTCGCACTGGCCATGTGACCACGGAAGATTGTCTTCGGACAAAAACGCTGGCTCTATGGCTTGGAAACGGGGATGAGCACGGCCCCCTAGAGTCGAACATGACTGGACAAAAATTGTCAAGGGGAACCTTTACCTTTACCTTTAAAGCCCTGTTTAACTCAGTAGTGCCTAGTTGTATACATTCTTAGGACTGATGGTGTAATAAGGTCTTTATGGCTGGGTAATAAAAAAAACACCAGTCTATTCCAATGATTTCCAACCTTGGATCCCCAAACATTCTTGGACTGCAACTCCTAGAAAATCGTGGCCAATACATCTGCAGACCCAAGGTTTGAAATCACTGGTCTATTATTTCATGTTAAGATTCCAATTAATCGTACAAAATTGACCCTGGGGACTACCAGAATGAAATTGACTAAAAACTTCTTTCAATTTAAGAAGTTTGTGGTCAAGTCTAATTGTAAAGCCTACATTCTAAACTGTCATCATCAAGTGTCATCAGGTCAATTCTGACTTACAGCAACTCTTCCCAGGGTTTTCCAGGTAGAGGATCCCCCCAAAATGGTTACCATTCCCTTCTTCTGGGGGCACCTTGGGGCTATGCAGCTTGACCAAAGCCACACAGGCTGCCTCTACTCCAGAAGCCACAGTGGGCTCTGCAGCTGGATACCTAAACCACTAAGTTATCCAGCCAGCTCAACCGTTGTGGCACATTATAAAATGGGGAGGGGAAGCATTTAAGGAAAAACCTTTCGACGTTTCAAATTAATTTTCACATTTACAGCAGAAGGACCCCAATAAAATCCACAAAGAGAAAGGAACTGATGTGAAATAGGTCAGCAAGAGCAGCGTCAGATTTTGCTTGCTTTTAGAAAGCTCTCTTAGGGGAAAAAAGCCATGAAGCAAAGAAGGCTGGAATCAGCTCTTGCGTAACTAAAATTATGGCACTCAAAGTCTGAAGGAGGCCATCTGGAAAGTGCCATTTCATGCAGAATTTCCTATAATTTCTGTGGCTCTGCAATCTCAACCTTCTATTCTTGTACAAAGAAATTCACAAACCACTATAAAAACATGGCTTTTTCTGTCTTCTCTTTCAGAAAGGAAAATATGATCTTTCCTTAGAGTTCAACGGTGCTGGTTAACATGCTGGATGCTTCCAGATTTAGGGTGGGGCCGGCCTGAGGCAGCAGGGCAGAGAAAGTAGCAAATTAGCACATCTCTTCCTGCCAGGTTTCATGGTTCCCAGGAGCTTCACATGCCAAAGCAGACAGGAGATGGTCCCGAAGGCCTAGCTCTGAGGGAACCTCTAAGGGCACCACCACAGCAGCAGCCAGGCCGTTGCTCTAAAGAGGCTTTGTGGATGGAAAGTCCTGTATAATCTTCCTGGGCACTCTGTCCACAATGTCTGCCTCTAAGGAACCATCCCTCAGAATTAACAATCTGAGCCAGACCAGTTCTCTAGATCAGTGGTCCCCAGCCTTGGCCCTCTAGATGTTCTTGGACTTCAACTCCCAGAAATCTTGGCCAGCAGAGGTGGTGGTGAAGGCTTCTGGGAATTGTAGTACAAGAACATCTGGAGGCCCAAGGTTGAGGACCACTGCTCTAGATACCCTGAAGTAGCAGAAGAATTTAGAGTACAAATACTTGCTTCAATGTTGTGTTAAAGTTGGCTGGTCTTATAGACAGACAGACAGACAGACAGACAGACAGACAGACAGACAGACAGACAAGGAGGGTGGGAATGGGAGGAAAGAGAAAAACCAAGAAGCAATTTCCCGGTTCTATTTTCCCTTTCTGAAGCTTACATAAGGCATTTAATTTCGCAAAAGACTTCTCCATTTTGGGAGTAGCCTTAAAGCTACATTACACTCTGAGAATGGCCCAAACAAAGTAGATTTGGAAGATAGGTTGTTGTTGTTTAGTCGTTAAGTCATGTCCGACTCTTTGTGACTCCATGGACCTGAGCATGCCAGGCCTTCCTGTCTTCCACTGCCTCCTAGAGTTTGGTCAAATTCATGTTGTTAGCTTTGATGACACTGTCCAACCATCACATCCTCTGTTGTCCCCTTCTCCTCTTACCTTCACACTTTCCGAGCATCAGGTTCTTTTCCAGGGAGTCTTCTCTTCTCATGAGATAGCCAAAGTATTGGAATCTCAGCTTCTGTCCTTCCAGTGAGGACTCAGGCTTGATTTCCTTCAGAACAGATAGGTATGATCTCCTTGCAGTCCAGGGGACTCTCAAGAGTCTCCTCCAGTACCACAATTCAAAAGCATCAATTCTTCGGCAGTCAGCCTTCTTTATGGTCCAGCTCTCACTTCCATACATCGCTACTGGAAAAACCATAGCTTTGACTATATGGACCTTTGTTGTCAAGGTGATGTCTCTGCTTTTTAAGATGCTGTCTAGGTTTGTCATCACTTTCCTCCCAAGAAGCAGGCGTCTTTTAATTTCATGGCTGCTGTCACCATCTGCATTGATCATGGAGCCCAAGAAGGTAAAATTTGTCACTGCCTCCATATCTTCCCCTTCTATTTGC